TGGACATTTATGGTTGGGTTGTTACCAACATCTGGTGAAAATTTCATGTCATTAGCACCTCTAGTAATTGATTTACTGTGAAAAGTGGTGACGTGTTCAATACTTATTTTACCTGCTGTATCTCTCATATATACTGTAGATGGAATTTGAAGTTTTTGTAAAGTATTGGTAGACAGGGCACCATAGGCCATATGGGATCCACTATGATACATTGCTATGGTTTAAAATATCCATGTACTCTGTGGGTCTCAGGCTCTGGAGTTTGTAAGAGCCTCCCTCACCAAGGTGGACGACACTGAGTTCATCTGTCCAGATGGATCCTACGCCTTGCAGGATGACAGCCCACTCGCCATCGCAGGAGTCATCGGAGGGTCTTTCAGCAGCGTCTCCATACAGGTAAAAATAGTATTTTTGAACAGAACTATAAAAAACAGAAAAAATAAATGTTTTCATTCATTCTTATTTGCACAAGCTCTTTGGCCAAGTCTAGATTAATGTTTCACTTTCCATGTTGTCACATTTATGTGACTGCATAATAACTGGTGTTCATATTTCTTTGAATTAACTTCACTCATTGTGTTCATCTGTGTTTTCCCAGCTCTTGTTGCTTCTTGTCACAGAGCCGGTTATTTGCATAGTTTAGCATAAACCCCCTTTTTTTCCCTTCTTACTCCTCTGTGATTGCACAAAAGCTTCCTCCTATCAGTCCTAAAATCCCTAATCTCTGCAACTGTCTCTCTGTCATCTCAGCCTTTCTTTATGTTTCTCTCTGCTGTTTTATGTATGTGGCTCCTTTTCTGTGCTTGAAATTTCTTGCTTTGCTCCTGTTCTTCACTCCCTTCTCATTTTTTCTGTATCTTTCTAAGTATCCAGAGGCATCCCCCCTGGCTATTTGAGGAGAGCTCAGTATGCTGACCTCAGCCCCCGTTTTTTTTTTTTTTCTTCTTGTCCTCTTCCTCCCCCTCCCCGGTGGCAGCCATTGTCAACATGTCTGCTCCGTCTCTTGTCCTTCATCACACATGATTATCTTTTGTTTTTCTGCAGCTCATCCCTGTTGCGCTTTGTTGCTTTTGCTGTTTGTTTAACCTGTATTTTCTGATGTCAGTGCTGCTTCTGAGACCTCAGACTGTGCTGCTTTCTGATCTGCTGCCAGTGATGCTAATCTAACCGTGCCTCACTACTTGGCCAGTCTGTCTGTTGCTTCTAAATGAAGTAGTATGAAATTATTTTATGTTTAGCCATGCATTTCAATGCCTCGAAGGCATTTACTAGCACGCAGTGCTCTTCCCCGCCATTCATTTGTGCGTATGTAGCCTAATTTGTGTGTTTGTGTGTGATTTTGATCTTGAGCCAGTATTACTCATGTTAAGCCTCTAAATCTGTTTACACCCAGTCACATCGTGAGGATGGTCTGCATAAATCAAAATATTGGATATAGACATTTTTTTTATTTATGGATGACGCCTGGTGTTGTGTTCAGGTTTGGTTTTGGGTTAAAAGATGATCAGTGAACGGAACGTCTTCAGAAGTCCTGATCCTGGTCATGTTTGTGGCTTGATGTCAAAGCAGAAATAAAAGCAAAGGCAAAAGAGGCCAATGTATAGGAATAATGTTTCAGTGCATGCCTGTGCATCTGTAGGATTGTCAAAATTTTACATAATTCATTGAATAGATTTTAAAGAAATTTTCAGGAAATAACCATCTTCAAGTGACCATCTGTCAGTCAGCCTGATTCAAGATGGCCGCCACAGCCAAGCAATCCACGCAAACACAAGCTGGTTGTAATTTCAGAAATTTTGCTGATTTATCTGTTGAGCAAAATTTGCAAAGACTTGACTGTCCCTCAACTTAACTGATAGTACAAGGTTTGTGTTTAAACCTTATCCATTAAATATTGGAACCGCTCTGTCTTTTAGCAAAATATCTCATTAACCACTGACCAACTTTTTAATAAACCTCTCACAAAGTAATAAATAAACTGGCATCTACAGCTGATCAACTTTCATTTGACATGAAAGGCAACGGGGGATGTGCACTTGTTCAAGGAATGCCAGGCTTTATTTTTTTAATTATCTTCCAGGTTCTGCACGTGCAACCCCGTTTCTAGACCAATTCTTACATTAAATCTCCTCCTTCCTCTGCAGCATGGTCAACCATGTCTTTACCAATGAGCCTGTTAGGTAGCTGTGGCCATTGTTTTTGCAACAGGTCAATGAATGACGTGGTTACATTTTGCAATGTGACAGTCCATGACAAATAGGTCAACCTCTGTACTAAAACCATTTAAAATGTCAGAACTAGAAACAGACATCACTGCAGTTGTGTGTGTGAGTGTGACAGTGTAAATGTTTGCAAATGTGTCAACCTGTGTGTTTTCTGCCCGTCTATGTTATTAGTCTATTAAGATTCTGACACGTTGTCAAAACAGCTCATCAAATGAACTCTGAATGAGATATAGAAACACCCAGAGTGGTGAGCTTTTGTTGGGGGGATTAAACTGAACCACAGATGGAATGTCTGTGTGTTTCTGTGTTTATTTGTGACAAGTGTGTGCGTGCGTGCGTGCGTGCGTGCGTGCGTGCGTGCGTGCGTGCGTGCGTGCGTGCGCGCGAGAGTCTTTGTGAGCATTTTTTCTTTACTTTATGTGACATTTAGTTACTTAAAAATATTACTGAATCTCAGTCTTCAGAAAGGATTAATGTATAAAAACACCAATTTGTTCAATTTTTTAATTTAATTTTATTTTATTTTTTAATCACTTCAGTAAAAAAAGAACTTAATATTAGTTTCTTAATTTCTTCATCATCAGTGATTTTTTTAAGTAAAGAAGAAATAGGAATAGAGGGGAAAACAGAGTAAATATAATTAGATTGAAATAGAGATAAGAAATACAGTATATTAAATATACACCAAGAAAACACAAGGACGCACACCCAACATCTGTGTGTGGCCCAATTTTATTGTAAAATTTGACATAGTTAATTTTATATTTTCTAAGCTCCATTCACAACAAAAATCCTCTTGAGTTTACAAAAAAGAGAGCTCCAATTCAAATTCAGCTGGATGTGATCCAATTCACTCAGTTTAATTTAAGTTAATATGATTCAAACTCAATACCTGAGTCCAGTACAAATCAATTATAACCCAATCTCATTTCATGTTTAGTTATAGAATAACAGGAGAAAAGTCACTAAACTCAGGAAACCAGTAGATAATTCCGTGCAAATATAAAAAAGTTAAAAAGACAGGAGTGGAGAGAACAGATCCAGATCCAAAGATGGATGCCCCCTCTGTCTTAAGTTGTGGGTAAAACTGGTATTTATGGGACATAAAGAAAAATGTAAAAAGCTTAAAGTTACTGAGAGTGTAGGATACCCCAGCAAGCAACAGTTTGACATGTACCCTTATTAAAATCTTTTAAACGGATAAAAATCTTCAATTTCACCTTCCCCGTTATCACCCACCACCTTTCAATTTCTTTTTGTCGAGAAATGATGCAGTTATAGATATTTTGGTCAAACCTTGAAAAATAATTTTATTCAACAGCTTGTGCTGAATTACAATATCTAAAGTAAATGTTGTGAGTTTAATCATTTAGGTGACAGAAAGAGGAGGTGCTAATCTTAGGCTCACCCTGCCTCTGATCTGATGACACCTGATTTTTTTTAAATGAACCATAAGTTTGAAAGTCTAGACAGAGAGAGTTTACTGAGAAACCATCTTTAATCATTTTTTCCTTCATTTTTGCACTGCAGAGTTTTTGTAACTATTTCCACAAATTGCTGTTGTAACTTTGGTAAACAAAAACTGAACAAACTGATAACATCCCTTGAAGAAGCAACACCAAAAGCGCTGACACTGTTACTTGAAGCACTTATAATCTGACTCTTGATCAAACACAAAAACAAAACTTCACCCACAGAAAGAAGCTTCTTCTCATCGCCCTCCTCCGTGTATAAATCAGATGCTTTAATGAATGAACTGATGTGAAATCAGTTCAGTTTTTGCCACCTCACTAAACATCTGTGGTGTAAATAAAACTGCAGAAACTCCTTGACTGCAATAAGTCTTACATTTAATGTGGGTTTGCGCTGCTGGGCTCGGTGATTTGTTTTTAAACTGCCTAAATTGCAGCTGTAGTAAAACACTTTTGTATTTATTTACACAAATTAATGGAGTGAAGAAACACAGAATGCTAGGAAAAGCGGAGAAATTAAATTATAACCAAACTCCATCGGATTGTGCTCTTGGAAGTCACAAGAAAAGTGTGATCAAAATGAGTCATTTAAAGGGCAAAAGGGTAATGTTTTTGTTTGTGTCTGTTTCTCTGTCTGTTAGCACAATATTTTATGATTGAGTGAAGGGATGCTAACAAAACTTTCAGGGAATAATTGTTGAATAAAAATCTACAACTGATTAACTTTTGGAGTCAATCACATTCAAGAAGGCTGACACACTTAAACAAATATAGCAATTACAAAAATTGCAGTGAATCTGCCAATTTTGCAGATATTGAATTAGAATATGGCAAGTGTGAGTTGTGATTCATCACCATTATATGTATATATTACAGACAAAAATAACCTCAAGCATACGTTAACAAAAGGATATATATCTGGTATACTTTGGCAGCAGGAGCTCAGCGATCAGTTGTAATCCTGAGGCTACAGGTTCAAGCCCAGATGTGGCCCCCGTAGAGAGGAATAGCTGAAAGAAAAACCACGACATTTAAAATAGTTTCAACTGGGTACATGTCCTGGACCTGGGGGGTATAGAGTATGTATCGGGGGTATGAGTGGAATGTGGCGTCCTTGTATGTCTTTGACTGAGTGGGGGTGAGGATGAGGATGGGATGGTGCGATTGTGTATGTTTGGGTATTTGTCAGGCTGCGCTCTGGGCTGCCCTTACTGCTGGTTTATCTGGGGGCCCGCTACTACTCGGCCCCCCGGTGGGGTGTGCGGCTGGCCGCCGGCGTGCTGGGGGTTCCCGGGGGCTGGGCGCTGGGGTGTGTGCCGGCCTGGCCTGGTGACTGCCTGTTGGGGCTCGGGGCCTCTGGGCCTGTCGGGCTTTGGCCTGGGGGGGTGCGCCCTGGGGGCCCGGACCTCTGTGCCCTTTCCTGGATCTGCTTTGGTATGGTGGGTACCGGTGGGGCCCATGAGTTTGTCGCTGCTGGCCCCTGGGGCTGTGCATGTGGTCGCTGGGGGGGGGGCTCTCCCAGTTCTCCCCAATGGTCTGATCTGGGGGCTGGGTGGGCGGATCTTCCCGTGCGGGTGCCCCTTGGGGCT